TAGGCGGTATTCAAGTTTCATGCCATGTGATGCTGTAAGCTTACTACTCCTGACGACGATAAAGGGAATAAGACATTATAAAATCTGTTTACAGTTTTAACTTTCTGCTTTGACCAATCGCGAAACGAGAGATTTTGCCTTATTTGTAATTGGTTCGATTTTCTCAATCACATTGGCTGCTCACAGCCAATCATATGGCAAGATCTCGGATCATATATTATTAAGCAGTGTTATTGAAGACCGTTTCCAAGCGCTTGATGTTCTAAAATCTAGCATTTAGACATGTTGCCTTACTGATTCTGTCCATTACTTAGGTTAATAATGACCTGAAGTTAAACGTCGGACTACCTAATGGAAGTCTCTTGCTAAGCATTGTAGACATTTGATGTGGGTCGGTCAATCAGCATGCTGTGAACACTTGAGCTTCCCACTTTTCTTCTCCAATCTTTTACTCCTAGATTATTAAGCTTAGATGAAAATGAATAAACGGGGTTCGGCGCTGCATGCCCAAAAAAGCCACTTTTGCAGCAGTTACAGTGATGCGATGGAAGTCAGGATTTCATTAACTTAACTGTATAGCATCTCAAGGAGAGATATGTGATGAGAGACCTCACCGCCCAGAAAGATAAAAAAGAATTTGCATCCGGTAATAAATCATCATGTGAGGATGACGACTTCCGCTCGGGAGGACCACCTAAGGATTGCGTGTCACTATCAATTAAGTTATGCGATGGGATAAAGCCCTCGGCAACGAATTCGATTTAAGCGCTATTCAGTTATATGCCATAAGCTGACCGACTGACTTGTTTTCTTGCTAAACTTTGCAACAAACTCAAGATACATTTCTTGTTACATCTTATTTGTCATCTCGCAATGCCATACACAGTCCCCATCCTACACTTCTAGGACGTATACCATTTCATTTTTGGTGCACTCCAGATTCGACTGTTCACTGGGGACTTCTCATCTGAATGCTATAACCCTTCCAATTGTGATTTGACCAGTCAGTCCTCTACAATCGGAATGAGTCCCTACTGTTA